AAATTCTTATATTTCAGCAGGTGATCCATGTAAATAGTTTGGCATAAATTACCATTATTACCATAAAATTATTGTTGTTCAAAACGGTTCGACAGTTTGAAAACTTCCAATAAAGAAAAACGTTAAAAAATAATAAATCGAAATTTTTAAACCTATAATTCAAACATTTTTCTTCTAAATTTTATTTAACCGTATGAAAATTAATTGAATTGTTATTTATTTTCGTAAACATGTTTAATTTGCTTATAATTTTTTTTATTTACAGGTATGTCAATGTGTGATCCGATAATAGACGAGCACTTCAGGCGATCATTGGGCAAAGACTACATTAAAATATTTTCAAATGGAGAAACGTCCAAGGAAGACAAACCCGTGAAGAAAACAACAATTGTAAAAAACCAGGACAGTATTGTAGAATTAATGGACAACTCGGGCCTAACGGTTGATGATCACTTTGCAAAGGCTCTCGGAGACACATGGCTAAAACTGAACAAAAAAGACTCTAACGCAACAGATAAGGGAACGGTGCTCTCCGTCTAAGTTGATGTAAAATAAAAAAAAAATAAATGTGAAACTGTGAATCTTGGTCATAAACATCCATCCACTGCACATATAAAATTTTTAAATGCCAAAGTTTCAATTTAATAGAATATAATGAAATTAAATTTCGTCCAAATGAAAACGATATTGGAATAATTATAAAATGTCAGCAACACTCATTAATTAAGAAAAAATTAATTAAAATTTAAGCACAGAATGTACGACCGGTGAAATGAAGAAAATAATTCCCTGGTGGAAAATATGACCAATAATTACCCCATTAATATGTTCCGTGTCTATAAAATGTTGATGTTGTATATAGTGACGAGAATATTTTGTATGCCTTTTACCTATTAGTTATAAGTTGCTTAAAACAAAACGTTACTGTAAGAATGTTGTTAATGACATGTTAAATTGATGTCCTTCTGTAGATGTACGTATTTATTTTGTCTAGTGTTAATATTAAGCCTTCATTGTGGAATTAGATCATTATAAAATGTAATTAACTTTATTTTCAAAGTAAACAAAAATTATCCTTTAGAAATGTAAAAAAGTTGTTTTTCTTTCATTTTGCCTTATTAAGTGTTTCAATTTGTTTTGAAAAAATGATTTCACTCAAAAAAATACAAACTTAATACTTTAGTTTCTCTGTTTGATAAAAAAGCTGTTCAAGAAAATAACCACCAAATCTAGATGAAAAGAGATTTAGAATGATTTTCTAATCAATTACGAATTGTATCAATCTCAATAAATCTTTAAAGATTTGATATTAACAGCAAATATTCCTTGATCCTTGATTACTATAGGGGTGCACTAAGAATAAATTTTTGAAAGTAAGTAATACAAAAATACCATTTGAGTAATCTAAAGGTTGATTTATGAAAAACGAAATGTATCTAATTATCATGAGTTTACCTGAAAATAGAAAACAATACAGTCATAATAACTAACTGTATGTTTAAAAACAAATAGTTAATCCTTCGATATTTACTTAGAAATATGAAAAATATTTTTACTCAAAAAATAATTAAGCATGTTTTTTTTAATTAACCTGCTAAAGTCTAAACAACTGAAATTAAGTTTCAAACTTTATAACTTAATAAGACTAGAAATAAAAAGTATTTAAAGGCAAGATAAAAAGAGGTACTTTATATTTAATTTTTATAAATATTAATAAACCATATCTCTGGGTATATGTTCATAAAATAGTATACTTATTGCTATTAGGCTGACATTTTTATCCCTATTCCTGATTCTATTATTATGGCCTGCTGTAAGAGATAAAAACTGTACGAGATTCTTTCGATACAGAGTTAACAAATGTAAAATAGAACACGATTCCTTTTGTTGTTGTCTCTTACGATGAGGTTGTTGAAAAATACTTCTATATAACCTCGCATGCCCGTTTAATGAAGTCATAAATTAAGAATTTGTGGTCGGAATAGTTATCCACAAACAAAAAAATCGTGTTATGTTATAACACATATAATATTTATAACATTCCATCGGCTTATCATCATTCCTTGAATATTTCCGGATGACTCTACTGATGGTCTCTAGTTTTATAATATAGTACACACGTTTCAACGATATTCGAATACGAAACTTCGAATTAAGCAATTGTAAAAGCATTTCAATGGAATCCACGATGACCGAATTTCTTTTGGGCAGAAAATTACAACATTCTTTTAACATAGTTCTAAATACGTAATTGCACAATAGAATTCCTACAAACGAAAGCGCGAAATGTTTCAAGTTGTAATAAATTGAATTAAAATTGCTATTCAGATGACAATAAGAACTGTTGCTTCATCGCAACTACTTCCGTTTATACCGGAAGTCGACCAAGTTTCGTTCTTATGAATCAAGCATCCTGTACTTTAAACAATACCGTAAAAAAATAACAATGCCAATGATAAAAACAGAAAATTACGTAATTCAAAAAAAAAAAAACTAAAAAACCTAAACTCTCAACCGTTACGTACAGTATCCATAATTAATTAAGTACTTGATAAATACTTAAACTAATCAGTCAAATCCTAATACTATACGGAGTAGTTACATTTTAAGTCAAATAAGCCTCGCATAACATCATATTGACTATAACTCCGTTTATTTTGGCTCAAATTCTTCGTAAATGAATAAAAGCAACAGTTAACAGCAGCTTTTTTTCTTTTAAACACTGTATAAATATCAATGACATCACAAAAGTTAATCTGGATTTTCATCCTGCAAATTTTGATTAGTAAAAACCTAGTATCCATT